GTTTAATCTACCATACCGCTGTAATAATAAGACAAATGTAATATTACAGCGGTAGATTAAACTGGCAAAACCGCTGGGAGGGTTCACCATTGATGAGTATGGCCCTTACATTGTTTTATCATATCACAGTAAGGTCACTAGAAAACTGTTTTATTATTTTTTTTTTACGTCAAAATAATTTAAATTTCATACTACGTTGTATAGAAATCTTCAGTTAATATGAAAATACATTGTAAACAATATATATAGAGAAGCATAGGGCGCCTCTCCCGTCAAAATAAACGTCAAAAACTGACGCCATCTATTGACCGTCGCCGCAAACTAGCGGCCTCGGGTCGGTGACAAAGCCACAACACCATCTTTTGTAAACTGAGAAGCGTCCACCTAGACACCATATATATATATATGTCACATTCTGCTTATAAATTATTAGTAGATGTAAATTTTTACGCTGTTAGGAATTATGTAAATATTTGTAACTATATAAAAAGAGACGCGTGATTGAAATAAATTTAGTCAGACGGTTGATTGTTCTCTCTTTCTTTACGCAAAACAATATGATCTGCATATTGGCGTGTTACATATATGTACCAAAAGAATGAACCTCTCCCTTCAAAAATGTCATGAATCAATGCATTTTGGTATATTGCTAAAGTAAATTTCAGTATGTATAGTTAGCTGGAAGTTATATTTCTAGGTACTTTTGTTAAAGCACAATTTGGATTATAGATTATAGCTACAAGATAACAAGACCAAATCCAAATAAATAATTGTGATGTTTTTGTAACAACGTTGTTACCGAAACGTCACACACTATTTATTTGGATTTGGTCTTGTTTTCTTGTATCTAGGCGCTCTTGTTGAAGAACAATTTGGATTATAGATTATAGCTACAAGATAACAAGACCAAATCCAAATAAATAATTGGGATTTTTTGTATCAAGGTTGTTACTGAAACGTCACACACACTTTATTTGGATTTGGTTTTGTTTATTGTAACTAGATGCTCTTGTTAAAGTGTAGCAATTAGCAATTAAAAGAACTTTATTGACCTCTTGTCAATGCTTACACTCACAAAGAGTTAAGGTAAGAAATAATGAAATAAAACATTTACAATATAGGTATATATCAGGCGGAGCTCTCACTGAGGGGACGCCTGGATATTTTCAAGAACTAAGAGTTGCCTGGATTGTGGTCAGGTTTCTGCGGATTAAAGGATCCGCATCCCCAGCAAGCTCGAAGACTTTGTTGAGGAAATCAATAAGGATCGGCCTGTTTTCAGGCAAAAGGGTCCCAAGGAAGGTGGTCTGTTCGGGGTGCATGATCGCCCCGATGACATCACCCGGTTTTATCTGCTGCTGAGTCAATGGCCTCAGGGTGGATTCAAATTCCAATTGCTCGAGTATTTCCAGTATCCGATTCTGACGGCGCTCACTCTGAGCATACTCATGTTCTCTGGTCTTGTTAAAGTGTATGTTAGGTCGAAGGTTAGAGAAATAAAAATGGTTTGCTTGATAGTGTGAAATAAATACAGAACGCCTTGTTGCAGAGTGAACCATAACACCAATCTTGGTATAGATGGAAATTTTACCGGGAGGATATTGATCTAAAGAGACAAAGGTCGCCTTTCCCGTCAAAACAGACGTCACTTGAAGTCTGTTTTGACGGTAGAGGCGAGCTTTGTCTCTTTAGACCAATCTTGGTGTATTATTATTATTGTTTATATTTCAGAGGATTTGATCTTTCGAATTTACACAAATCAAATTGTTTTCGGAAAATCCAAATTGTGTATTTCTGTTATACACCACATTTATAATACATATAGCCGGTATGTTACAACGGAATTGTTTGAGATTCTTCGGTCACATCGCACGACACAGGGGAATGGAGTACACCATACTGACTGGAAAGATATCTTGGCGACATATACCTGGATGTCCACCGACACGCTTCGTGGACCAATTAAAGGAACTCACTGGTTTAACGGTGGCCAAGATGGTACATTGAGCTCAAGACAGAGATGGCTGGTGTCGTGTTTGGGATGTAATATACGTACAGTACAACGTTCGATCGCGAATATAATGATTTACAATAAACCACCATATACTCTAGTGTATGGGGCTGAAAGACGAACGAGAAGTGCTCCTCAGGGAAATAGGCCTTGAGGGACTCTCTTTGGAGTTCCTGTTGAATGAGGTGGTGAGAAACAGAGCTGGAGCGTTTGCGTTGTTCAAATTTTGGAAGACGGCTGAAGAGAAGAGAAAGCTATATACATAATCTAATTGATGTAAATAATCTTTGTCAGGATTAGAATGACGAATCCGGTATGGGACTTTGATTCCAGTAAAAGGCTTGTTGCTGCTGTTGTATAAAGTCACAGTGTAGAAAATACTATACTATACCTAATACATATATCTCTGTATTCTTAGTTCTCTTCAATTACTCTGTAAACTGGCGAATCCTTTATAGGACGAGAGGTATTCAATAAAGGCTTTTGTTGTTGTTGTTGATTTACAATAAACCTCAAACCTCTGGGAATAGATTGGACAGCGATGTAGATCTTTGGTCTCTAGTCAACGTGTACAGTATTATTCAACATACCAGAACTAAACTTGGAATTTTTCAAATATACACTCATGGAGACAATATACGTACAGTACAACGTTCGATTGTAAATAAAATGATATTACATAGCCGGTAAATCAATCCCGAAAATACTGCAGAAAGCCATGTTACCCTGTCTCCTATGTTATCTAGGAGAACAGCTCAGTAAGCAGATGAAAAAGAGGAGTCATGTCCGGCGAACATGGTGACTTGGAAATTCTCCAAGTCTTCCAAAGTTAACATCATTAGTCATGGTCGCTGACGTTATTGTGTGAAAGAAAGTTGGTCAAAAATATTTAAATAATTATCATAGATATCTGTTCCAGACTTGAGGATAAATCACCAACAAAAAGGTAATTGCAATCCTTTTATTAAAAGAGAATCACATAATTTCATAATGAATACGTTTTTTTTAAACTTTTTTTTTTTCATTCATAAAAGGCCCTCCCATTAATTTTTTTCCATTGCAGTAAGGACAGTAGATATTGTTTATTTTTCAAAGAATCATACGCGTCTATAATAGTTTCGGATTTTCATAACAGATGGCGCGCAAATGTTTCATAATATAAAGTAATTGTATTATGATGCATTAGCGCGCCATCTGTTATCAAAATTCGAAACTATTATAGACGCGTAAGATTCTTTGAAAAATAAACAATTTCTACTTCCCTTACTGTAATGGAAAAAAAAATAATTGCTAATAAAAGATACAAATTGATATTTGCGGAAGAGCGATTGTTCGAAGCCTTTTATATATTTATAATTGTATGTAATTCTACTGTCCTCAAAGCTTATGTTTATAGTTAATCTAAAATACCCATTCCAAGAGTCTAGCATCAGTATCACTATAAAAATAAGATCGATAAATTCAATATAACATCGGTATGGTAGATTAAACTGGCGAAACCGCTGGGAGGGTTCACAATTGATGAGCCAGGCTCTCCCATTAATTTTTCCATTGCAGTAAGGACAGTAGAAATTGTTTAATTTTTCAAAAAGAATCATAGGCGTCTATAATAGTTTTGTATTTTGATAAAGTAATCGTATTATGTATTCGGCGTAATAATATTATTCTCCAAGTAATAATGAAAAACAACTTTTTAAGAAAAAAAACGAATTTTTGGGATAACCGTATAATGCTCCATCAACAATTGACCAATGGCAGAGAATTGAAATGACCTAAACATTACAGAAATTACCTCAACAAGAAATCACGGTGCTCCAATGTGACCAGGTAAATTGAAGTAGGGGGAGAAATGTGTGCGACAAGGTTAAATGATTTTTATTGATTTTTGTTGTTCTTAGAATTCCTGAGGTGATATCTCAATGTTACCAGTCGTTACTAATGACTTGGAATTTCTTTTATTGAAAAAATCGTCTGGATTTTCTCTCAAAGACATTTTACAGTACACGGATATATTTTCTCTATAATTTATCTTATTTCTGTTATATATTTTGGGGTTAATCTTTTTAAAATAATATTTTATACTACTTCCGTCAGATTTTATTTTATTACCAGTTGCGACACGCTATATCCGATCTGGATAATTGCGCATGAAACTATTTACAATAATTGTAGTAGAGTAGGTAACAGAATTATCAAAAAGAAAATAAACAATAAAGAAAAAGAACATTAAATAAACTTCAGTCATATTCAATTTTAAAAAACAAACGAATATATGAAATAAAGAAAATATATTTTCTGTTGTATTTTTGATTATGTTGAGGATTATGGTAATGGTGATGCAGTCGTGGTTAAAGCTTGAAAGTATGATAATAAAAATAATTTTGATCAGTAATTTAATTGAACTAAAGGAATATATAAAAGAACATAATTTGGTAAAAGTACTGCCTGGCTTAAGGCGAGTAGAATAAGGAAAACAAAATATTATTTACATAATGGTACAAAGGTTTTGAGCCGGCCATCGGGAAACAACAATGAGTTTTTATAGGGGAAGAGTCACCTCTGGCGGTCGATTTAGCAGAGTATTTGGATATATGAAATATATTTTTTTTTAAGTAGAATAATATTTTAATATAACATGTATATTTTTGATAATTTAAATTATTGATATATTTAGAATATAATCTTTTTTCTAGCAATTTTAGATAATAAACGTCTAAGAATGAGTATATTTTAATTAGATGTTTTTAGAGCTTTCGGGATAACGCCTTTCCACAGGAAAAAATTGATACAAAATGAAACTTAACTAATTTATAATACAATATAATGCGGCTTATGATTGTAGAACAACGTTTGACAAATTGCCAAATGTTTCTTTTGAATGAAAAATCGTAATTTTATTTTAAGGAGAAATAACGACTATTTCTATCCTTAGGAATAAAGTATGAAAGGATGAATTGTGAAGAGTAATGATAAACGGAAAAATAAAGGTATCCAGGGATGGGAATGTAACCCACAGTGTTCCTTTTAACGGGAAGATGCCATGTCCACTAGGCTACCCTGGACATATTTTTCCAACTAATTATAACTTGCCATAGCATAGTTAAGTTTCATTTTGTATCAATTTTTCCCGAAGAAGGGCGTTATCCCGAAAGCTCGAAAAACGTTTAATTAAAGATACTCAACCTTAGACATTTTACTTTATTATCTAAAATATTATTGATATATCCTGTATTTATGTTTATTATGATATATATTTTTTGTTTTATGTGTAAAAAAAGAAACATTTGTGTTTTAATTATTTCATATCTTATGTATATATTGCATGCTATTGCTTTTTATTAATTTATACGAGAAAATTAATTTTAAAAAAATATAAAAAAGGTCAAATGCTAATATCAAGAAAATGAGTTGATCAAATATCAGGGAATAGGTTTAATCAACGTTTAGTTGATATTTGTTCCACTAGATGGTGCTCTGTCATTTGAAAAGCACTCATGCTAGTGGTCAGGCTATGCCTTTTTTTTAAATGTCTTTTTAATTATATCTAACTGGCCTTGTACTTGTTGTTTGTGGAAGAGCATTGCTCGAGGCAAATATTTATATGTAATTCTACTGTCCTAAAAGCTTATGTCCATAGTTTACTTGAATACCATTTCTAAGATACCACCCTTCAGTGTAGCATATATAAGCAGAATGATCCAATACAGTATTAGAGCTCTAAAGAAGCGGTCTGGTAGATTAAATTGGGGAAACTGCTGTGAGGGTTCACCACTGATGAGCCAAGCCCTCCCAATATTTTTCATCGCAGTAAGGACAGTAGAAGTTTGATTTATTTGTGAAAGAAACATTTGTGCTTTAATGTCTTCTTTTTCTTATATATGTATGGCGTTATTGCATTATAATAATTTAAATTATTAACAATTATCTCTGCAGAACTTAATGCAGATATAGAAATTATTAAATGAAAAAGAACTTGGCTTATATATTATTTAATAACAATGAACAAATATCTGAAACAATCGTCCAACAATATATAAAATACCATTCCCTCGCATCAATTCTTGATAAAAACGAAAATCAATACCCGAAACAATAGTCCAACAATATAGATAAAAAGAATACCTTTCCTCATCTCAATTATTTAATAACAATGAGTAAATGGCTGAAACAATCGTCCAACAATATATAAAATACCATTCCCTTGCATTAATTCTTGATAAAAACGAAAATCAATACCCGGAACAATCGTCTAACAATGTAGATTTTATCTACATTTATTTTTATTATTATTTCTTTTTAAGAATACCTTTCCTCACCTCAATTTTTAATAACAATGTGTAAACATCTGAAACAATAGTCCAACAATGTAGATAAAAAGAATACCTTTCCTCACCTCAATTATTTAATAACACACACAATGGGTAAATATCTGAAACAATCGTCGAACAATATAGATCAAAAGAATAACTTTCCTCACCTCAATTATTTAATAACAATGAGTAAATAGCTGAAACAATAGTCCAACAATGTAGATAAAAAGAATACTTTTCCTCACCTATTTTTAATAATAATGGGTAAATATCTGAAACACTCGTCCAACAATACAGAAAATACCCGTCCTTCGCATCAATTCTTGACAAAAACGAGAATTAATACATGAAACAATAGTACAACAATTTAAATAAAAAGCATAACTTTCTTTACCTCGATTATTCAATAACAATGAGTAAATATCTGAAACAATCGTCCAACAATGTAGATGAGGAACGTCAAACAATGACCAAACCTAGCCAACACCGGAAGCAGTCCAATAAAGGAATCCATTCTGATTGGCCAGCAGTTTGCTAAAAAACGCTTCCCTTGCTATCGGCGTCTTTGAAGTGGACAAATATTAGAGAGACCGAGCCGCCGTTTTTTTATTGTTGGCCTTTTATGTGGACCGCGGGCAGAAGATTAAAAAGTGAAATCGTCATTTTATTTTTTAACCTTTTCACCGACATTTGATAGCCTTATGTATTGTCGCAATATTTCAATGTAATATTTCGGCATGTATTTTGTGTATAGTAAACTTAAGATTTTGGTATTGTATATATTCTAGCGCTGAATAAGGGGTTAAATCTCTATGTAATTATTTTTAAGGAAAATGTAACAAAGGAAAAAGCCCTAAAGTTATTTTTAAAACGAGCTTGCTAGGATATTTGAACCTGGAATCTTTTAATCTAAAATTTGAAGCATTTTGACCATAGATTTAGAATACTTTGAATATTTGTTGTAAATATGTATAGTTAACCTACCTATTTTTTAATTCACGAATATAGAATTCATTTTATAAATTCTATATTACTGTGATAAATAATATTATGTGTAATTTGTTTCAAGTATTTCAAAATAAAAACTACTTGATAAGTAAATAACTATCTTTTTTTCACGACTGCACCTCCATTTCTTTATCATTCCAACATCAAAACATTATAATCATAACAAATATATAGGTGAAAAATAAGAAAAAAATAGAAAAAAGTCAAGTGTTTATAGAAAAAGCAAAAAAAGTCTATCTTCACCTCTTATATAAACATTTTAGACATTGGTATTGAGCAAGTATGTCAAAATTTAGACTTACCTAAATTCCCTGTATAATATACATTGATTAGAACATTTGTGGACAGAAATGGAGTCAAGTTTTAAATAAATCTTTAAAAAAATTTCGCTTTATTTTTTCTTGTAAATCAACTGTTATAATTTCATTTTTCTGATATATTCAAATTTGCATATTAATAGACTAATTTACATATTCTATTTAAATTTTAAACATATCATTTTTTTTATCCTATCCGAATAAAAATTTAATATTATATTGAATAATGATTGTTTTAGATATTATGTAAATAAGTTTGATAACAAACCAAATTTGCATATACCGCGATTATTGGTCAATGGTAAAATATTTTATATTTAGGAATCCTTTCTCTCTTTCACAGAAAAATATAAATTTAAAGAAAATACTATTAAACGTAATTTTATTAAGTTAATTCAATTATAATTTTATTAACACAATTTACAACAATCTAAAAATATGATGAATTGTTTATTAATTTTTTTAGGAGAAAAGTGATTTAAAAAAAAAAACTTCAGAAGAATTTTTATCTATCTTCTGTGATATTTAATATATAGAGTGATATTAGGAAAGCGTTCGGTAACACTGATTATCACAAAGTTAGTTAAAGTTTAACTTTTTTTTTTCCTGTGTTCACAGAGTAAAGTTCTGTGAGCAATTTTTTAAGTGGCCGCCATATTGATTTATTGTCTCCTAGATTTAGCCAAGCTTGTTTTTTTTTTATTCGTCTGCTTCCAATCTTTAAACTTTTTAAATAGAAAATAATGTGTTTTCACCTCATCCCCCGGTAAAGCTAGATTTTTCATTTAACTTTTATATATAAAAATAGGAAAAAAAATAATGTTTTTGAAATTAAATTGAAAAAAAAATACAATTTTAACGTTATTTATATATAAATATTTATTTGTATTTATATTGCTACCTGGAAAATTAGGAATGACAAACTTCGGGATATGACACAGTAATTTTATTTAAGGCAAGAACAAACTATGAATGATAAACAACATATCTGGGTCAAATAGTTTATAATAGGGAAAGATATACGAAATTTAATAGGTTCTGCAGACTTTTTATTATAAATAGAGAGCTTCATGCAGCTTGAGGAACTACACTACTATGCAACTTGATTTACTTCAATGTAAACAATTAAGAAGTTACTTTAGAATATAACTCATTGTAAATAGCTCAACTTGATCAACTTTCTCTCTCCACGATACTAATTATTACAGATAACTTCATTAACTTCCATCATTGCTTAACATATTGTAAATATATATTTATTTTACCTGTAGAAGGGCATTGCCCGAAAGCTTGTAATGTTTTACAATTAAAAGAAACTCATCTTCTGAAACTTCTTACTTGACATATTGTAAATAACTACCTTGCGATTTCTTCTATCTGCTTATGTTGTTGCTTATTTGTTTAATGTATATGTTTATTTAATGTTCTTAATTGTTTATTTTCTTTTTGATAATTCTGTTACCTACTCTACTATAATTATTGTAAATAGTTTCACGCGCAATTATCCAGATCGGATATAGCGTGTCTTGTTTACAACTGGTAATTAATAAATAAATAAAATGATAAACAAAAGAAAAAAAAATGAAGCAAGTTTACAGATTATAGCAAAATATAAACATAAAAAATGATACTCTGTTAATAAAATAATAAATACTTTGCTACAATATAATAAAAGGCGTTTTGGGAATATTTGACATCTTCTGCTTATAAATACAAAGTCATTCTATAGCTTATCTGTTGGATCGTTTTTGAAGACAACTCTCAGATTTATAAAATTATTTTATTAAAAAAACATTAAACATTTTTAGATATATATAGAAACGAGTTAATTATCTCGTATTTAAGGCAACAAAAGATTCATCTAATTTTTATACATTTTCTAACCAGATTCAACTTGTGAAAACAGACGACAAATGAAAAAAATAAACAAATTAATAATAAAGGGTAAGTTCCTATTTTTATAAGCTTTCACACTCAAAGAATATTCAACTTCTTGCTTCATTATCCAATAGCTTTGTATTTTTGAGTAGATAAAGAAAGATACCCGAAAGCTTCTGATTATATTTGAATAAAAATAAAACATATTGAATATATTTTTTCATTTTTTATATAATACTGGCCCAGAATGACACGGGCAACGCTCTGGTTTTACCCCGAGTGCGTATGCATAAAAAATATTACAAGAGAAGGAAATTATTTCACTAAGTTCTAATTATGTAAATATTTACGTGTATGTGTATTATAAAAAAATGATTTCTGTTGATTTTGGTATGTTGAGTAGGTTGTTTGATCACATTATGATACTGTTTTGCAGTCGTGGGAAAAATACTAAAAATAGTTCAGATCATTAATTGCTTTAATTGAGCTGAAGGAATATATAAAAATATAATTTGATAAAAGTACTGCCTGGCTTAAGGCGTAAGAATC